AGGTGCACCTTGTGCTGGGGACAATAAAAGGCCACTCTAAAATGTACAGTTTTGTCACACGACACAATGCCACAGATGTCTCAAGTTTTGAGGGAGTGTGCAATTGGCATGCTGACTGCAGGAATGTCCACCAGAGCTGTTGCCAGATAATTTAATGTTCATTTCTCTACCATAAGCCGCCTCCAACTTTGTTTTAGAGAATTTGGCAGTACGTCCAACCGGCCTCACAACCGCACACCACGTGTAATCACACGAGCCCAGGACCTCCACATCCGGCTTCTTCACCTGATGAAACTGAGTATTTCTGTCTGTGATAAAGCCCTTTTGTGGGGAAAAACTCATTCTGATCGGCTGGGCCTGGCTCCTAGGTAGGTGGGCCTATGACCTCCCAAGCCCACCGATGGCTGCGCCCCTGCCCAATCATGTGAAATCCATAGATTAGGGCCTAATTAATTCATTTCAATTGACTGATTTCCTTATATGAACTGTAACTCAGTAAAATCGTTGTAATTGTTGCATGTTGCGTTTATATTTTTGTTCAGTATATTTTCCATTCCGAGTACTCTAGTACTCAAGAAAAAAAACATGCGAGTACTTGAACAGTAAAAAAATGTCAAATGCCCATCCCTACACTCTTAGAAAAAAGGGTTCCAAAAGGTTTCTTCAGCTGTCAATCAATCAATCAATCAATCAATTTTATTTTATATAGCCCTTCGTACATCAGCTAATATCTCGAAGTGCTGTACAGAAACCCAGCCTAAAACCCCAAACAGCTAGTAATGCAGGTGTAGAAGCACGGTGGCTAGGAAAAACTCCCTAGAAAGGCCAAAACCTAGGAAGAAACCTAGAGAGGAACCAGGCTATGAGGGGTGGCCAGTCCTCTTCTGGCTGTGCCGGGTGGAGGTTATAACAGAACCATGCCAAGATGTTCAAAAATGTTCATAAGTGACAAGCATGGTCAAATAATAATCAGGAATAAATCTCAGTTGGCTTTTCATAGCCGATCATTAAGAGTTGAAAACAGCAGGTCTGGGACAGGTAGGGGTTCCATAACCGCAGGCAGAACAGTTGAAACTGGAATAGCAGCAAGGCCAGGCGGACTGGGGACAGCAAGGAGTCACCACGGCCGGTAGTCCCGACGTATGGTCCTAGGGCTCAGGTCTCTCAGTTGGCTTTTCATAGCCGATCATTAAGAGTTGAAAACAGCAGGTCTGGGACAGGTAGGGGTTTCGTAACCGCAGGCAGAACAGTTGAAACTGGAATAGCAGCAAGGCCAGGCGGACTGGGGACAGCAAGGTGTCAGCATGCCCGGTAGTCCTGACGTATGGTCCTAGGGCTCAGGTTCTCAGAGAGAAAGAGAGAACGAGAGAATTAGAGAGAGCATACTTAAATTCACACAGGACACTGGATAAGACAGGAGAAGTACTCCAGGTATAACCAACTAACCCCAGCCCCCCCGACACATAAACTACTGCAGCATAAATACTGGAGCCTGAGACAGGAGCGGTCCGGAGACACTGTGGCCCCATCCGAAGAAACCCCCGGACAGGGCCAAACAGGAAGGATATAACCCCACCCACTCTGCCAAAGCACAGCCCCCGCACCACTAGAGGGATATCCTCAACCACCAACTTACAATCCTGAGACAAGGCCGAGTATAGCCCACAGAGGTCTCCACCACAGCACAAACCAAGGGGGGGCGCCAACCCAGACAGGAAGATCACGTCAGTAACTCAACCCACTCAAGTGACGCACCCCTCCTAGGGACGGCATGAAAGAGCACCAGCAAGCCAGTGACTCAGCCCCTGTAACAGGGTTAGAGGCAGAGAACCCCAGTGGAGAGAGGGGAACCGGCCTGGCAGAGACAGCAAGGGCTGTTCGTTGCTCCAGAGCCTTTCCGTTCACCTTCACACTCCTGGGCCAGACTACACTCAATCATATCACCTACTGAAGAGATAAGTCTTCAGTAAAGACTTAAAGGTTGAGACCGAGTCTGCGTCTCTCACATGGGTAGGCAGACTGTTCCATAAAAATGGAGATCTATAGGAGAAAGCCCTGCCTCCCGCTGTTTGCTTAGAAATTCTAGGGACAATTAGGAGGCCTGCGTCTTGTGACCGTAGCGTACGTATTGGTATGTACGGCAGGACCAACTCGGAAAGATAGGTAGGAGCAAGCCCATGTAACGCTTTATAGGTTAACAGTAAAACCTTGAAATCAGCCCTTGCATTAACAGGAAGCCAGTGTAGGGAAGCTAGCACTGGAGTAATATGATCAAATTTCTTGGTTCTAGTCAGGATTCTAGCAGCCGTATTTAGCACTAACTGAAGTTTATTTAGTGCTTTATCCGGGTAGCCGGAAAGTAGAGCATTGCAGTAGTCTAACCTAGAAGTAACAAATGCATGGATTAATTTTTTCTGCATCATTTTTGGACAGAAATTTTCTGATTTTTGCAATGTTACGTAGATGGAAAAAAGCTGTCCTTGAAACAGTCTTGATATGTTCGTCAAAAGAGAGATCAGGGTCAAGAGTAACGCCGAGGTCCTTCACAGTTTTATTTGAGACGACTTTACAACCATCAAGATGAATTGTCAGATTTAACAGAAGATCTCTTTGTTTCTTGGGACCTAGAACAAGCATCTCTGTTTTGTCCGAGTTTAAAAGTAGAACGTTTTCAGCCATCCACTTCCTTATGTCTGAAACACAGGCTTCTAGCGAGGGCAATTTTGGGGCTTCACCATGTTTCATTGAAATGTACAGCTGTGTGTCATCCGCATAGCAGTGAAAGTTAACATTATGTTTTCGAATAACATCCCCAAGAGGTAAAATATATAGTGAAAACAATAGTGGTCCTAAAACGGAACCTTGAGGAACACCGAAATGTACAGTTGATTTGTCGGAGGACAGACCATTCACAGAGACAAACTGATATCTTTCCGACAGGTAAGATCTAAACCAGGCCAGAACTTGTCCGTGTAGACCAATTTGGGTTTCCAGTCCCTCCAAAAGAATGTGGTGATCGATGGTGTCAAAGGCAGCACTAAGGTCTAGTAGCACGAGGACAGATGCAGAGCCTCGGTCTGACGCCATTAAAAGGTAATTTACCACCTTCACAAGTGCAGTCTCAGTGCTATGATGGGGTCTAAAACCAGACTGAAGCATTTCGTATACATTGTTTGTCTTCAGAAAGGCAAACAATGTATAGCTGTCCCCAAAGGATAACCATTTTTGGTTCCAGGGAGAACCCTTTTTGGTTACACGTAGAACCCTTTTGGGTTCCATGTAGAACCTTCTGTGGAAAGGGTCTTACATGGAACCCAAAACGGTTCTACCTGGAACCAAAAAGGATTCTTCAAAGGGTTATCCTATGGGGACAGCCGAATAACTATTTTAGGTTCTAGATAGCACCTTTTTTTTCTAAGAGTGTACAGGGGACACAGAAAGCTGTAATGTCAGCCAAGGCCAGTGAGTGTTCTGAAGTGTCCCGCTGTCTAATGTACTTACTTTGGTCTCCCCCTTGTCTCCTCCTCTGTCTCCTCCATCCACTCCTCTGGCTGGAAAAACACACTCACAAAATAATACTGAGCACGAATATAAACAACACCTCTTGTCCCCCATCACCCTCTCTCTCCCTCCCTCCTCCTGACTCTACTAAAGGAGCCTCTCGGTGGTCGTTGGGCTCCTAATGATGATGTGTACATTCCTGGTGAGTCACCAGGGAGCGCCACTAACATCTCCCATGTGACTGTGTAGATGTGACATGGTTGGACAGTATGCTAAGCAACAGATGCCAGTAACAGCAGTGTTAGCTGGTATTGTTCACTATGAGGACCTCAGTTTAGAATGTGTCTGGGTCATTGGAAATCCTTGAAAGCAGGGCTACCAGTTAGACAGTACCACCAATTGGAGCTTAGTTGGTTCCAATTGTTTGGTTGGTGCATGATGCTTGCTACACCAGAGCCATGTATACTGAATATGCTGTAGGCCTACAGTGTTGTGTTGACAGCTTTGGACAAAAGTCTGCTAAATGATCATATTATTACAATGTTATTACAAGCTTGATGCTCCACCATCATTGGCCCCTGATCCAGGTCTTCTAATCCAGTTAAACGGTTTCCGTGACGATCCTGTGGGCCGTGGCCGGCGGCAGCACGGCCGCATGGCGAACACATCTGAAGCTCATTACATCCATGAAAGAAATCCTAGAACAGAATGAAATAGAATAAAAATAGCAGTGAAATAATGAAATAATATGAAACCCGCTGAAATCAGCAGTGAGAGGAGAGGTCCCTGTTGGCCTGACACGGAGACATCCTCTCTCATATTTATTAGTTTAATATTTTAGATCCAACACCACAGCCAGCTTTCTGACACGTCCACCATTCTTCTATCTCTCTCTCTCTCTTTCTCTCTCTCTATGTCTCTCTCTCTGTGTGTGTCTCTCTCTCTCTCTCTCTCTCTCTCTCTCTCTCTCTCTCTCTCTCTCTCTCTCTCTCTCTCTCTCTCTCTCTCTCTCTCTCTCTCTCTCTCCCTCTGATGTGATAGCTGAAGCTCATGTAGATCTGTTTATCAAAGGGTTGGTCAAGCCGCCCAAAGACAGCAAAAAAATGCAGGAAAGGAAACTGTACAATTGACCAGATCATGTCAACTGTACTGGTGCCAGCCAAAGGGCATTGGGTTCCTCTGCACAGACAGACACATATGTTGTTGACGACTCATACAGAGCTTATTATGTATGTCAATAGAGTGTTACAAAAGGGAATAAGGTTATAAGTACTACATCTGCTTCCTCAGAATGCAGTAGATCAAAACACAGATATAGAAAGACTTTAGAATAGACATGTTCAGATTTTTAAAAAAGATGCCATGTGGAAACAGACACTTGGATACATATAGAAAATAACATACACAGACAGACACATCAGTGTATGTGAAGACTGTATAGACCAGAGCCTTGTATGTCCAGATGTGTGTCTGTAAGGACAGTATTAGATGAAGGTGGAATGAGTTCAACTCTATTGTCTTCTAAAAAGTGGCTGAAAAAAGGAGACGAGAAGCTGGTGAGGACAGTGACACGTGTAGCCCTAATGGCTTGTGCCTGTGGCTTTGTCTTTGCCAAGTCGTATTGTGAGGTGGGACTGAGTCCAGCCAAATGTCCATTCCCATCGGCAGCCCAATCAGGCTGGGAATTCTGGGAGTTCTGCAAGTGTTCACAGCTGTGTATGGATCCAGCTGACACCAGCTCCCACGGACACAGAGAACGACGGCAATACAGACAGACACAGACAGAGAATCACCCAAAGGGGAGGAAAGAAGGGACTAGAGGTCTCACACAACCTGTTATGTTACTCAAAAACACCCAGTCTGACCAACAGAGAGACTCCCATAGAGTGGGTTCTAAACGCAATAGATTGTTGCCAAATATTGTAATATGAGACTTTATTGTCCACTAGCAGATGTTACAAAATTGCCTTCTTGTGTTAACAAAGTTGTTTTGGTGTTCAGTAAAGATGTAGTCCAACAAAAACCAGTGCTCTCCCAAAGGCTTTCTTGGTTGGGGTGTAAAACCAGCAAAAATGTAACATAATCTTCCTGCTTTCCCATTCCTCCCTGCCATCCCCACCTCCACTCCCATCCCTCCCTACAGCTCCGTACGTGAGCTTCATCCAGAAGGATCCGGGCGCTCCGTGCTCACTGACAGAGGCTCTGGAATACCTCCAGGTGGACGTCCTGGAGAACCTGTTCAAGAAAGACAGCCTGGCCTCCAATCAGAAACAGCCACCCAAGAACAAGCCCCACAACATTACCGTGGTTGCCATGGAGGGCTGTCACTCATTCGTCATCCTGGACTGGGCCATCCCCCTGAAGGACGACATGGTGTCAGGTGAGTGGACTGGACTGGGCCATCCCACTAAAGGACGACATGGTGTCAGGTGAGTGGACCACAATGTCACGCAGGGTGACTAGCAGCTTGCTAGTCCTGTAAATGCAATGTGAGAGTTGTCAAGAGTATTCTGTCAGTGCTTCAAGCAGTTAGTGTGCACTTAGTCTGACTTCAACTTTTCTTTCCTGACCCATTTCTTGTGCTTTTCAAAGGATCACAGCTGGTCAGCAGAAAGAATCTAACTGGTTGTTGATGTACTAGTAAGCTGCTAGTTAGATTTTATGGACTCGCACGACCCCAATGTTTTAGACATCACAGAGTTTTGATTACTGTAAAGGAGACTGTACTTGACCCCCCCCCCCCCCCCCCCCCCCCCCCCCCCCCCACTTGCTTTCCGATATCTCTCTTTCGCTCTCATGTGGTTTTCCAGATGTGTTGCAACTTGTGGTACTTATCCCCCTCTCCTCTTCCCCTGTCTCTCATTCATGTTGTTTAGGATCATCACTGGGCTATTTGTTATCATATTCTACAGTGCCTGTCTTCTCTCAGTTGTCAGGAAAATAAGAAAGAGAGGGAGAGAGGCAGCAGGGGTGAGAGAGAATGAAAGAGGGAGGAGAGAAGGAGAAGAAGTGAGTGACAGGCTGCAATAGTGGGAGAGAAAGAGGGAACAACACAATCTTGAGCCAGCTGTGTTGTCCAGGCTCCAGCAGAAATATTAGGCCCTAAAACATCCAATAGGAACACATCATGGCTTGATGTGGCGAGAAGCGTGAAATGGGGAGCGTGGCGCTCATAGAGTTTCCACTGGCTGAGTGGCATGATCTGAGCATTCCATGAACTCAGGACTGGACTCACACACTGGCCTGGGGCTTTATGGAGGATTACCCTCCTGTGTGTGTGAGAGTAGAGACAAAAGAAGAGGTGAGAAACAGAAAGGCTCGGTATGGGTAGTGGTTGGCAGATCCACAATGTGACTTACTGAGGCTGTCTCTAGTTTAAAACCACTGATGCCTTTAAAATGAGTTGGGATTGTTCTCCTGGCTCCAATCACTCTCCTCTCAAATGCAAACATTTCCTCTGAAACCTTAGACCACCCTTACCTTTGGCTACCCATCAAAACCAACATGGCTACCTCTTTCTCAAACTTCAAAATGGATCTGTCTCTCCTCTCTAACCTCTGGGGATCTTTGCCTCCTGACCCTTGCCCTGTGTGTGACCCCTGCAGGCTACATGGTCCACAGCGCCTCATATGACGACATCCTCAACAACAGGTGGTCCTCCAGCGCTTCCAGTGGCACACACCTGGCTGTAGAGAACCTCAAACCCAACTCCAGGTGAGAATATGCTCTGTGTGTGTGTGTGTGTGTGTGTGTGTGTGTGTGTGTGTGTGTGTGTGTGTGTGTGTGTGTGTGTGTGTGTGTGTGTGTGTGTGTGTGTGTGTGTGTGTGTGTGTGTGTGTGTGTGTGCGTGTGTGCGTGTGTGTGTGTGCATGTGTGTGTAGTATATTCAATGTCCAAATTCTGGGTATAATCTTACGCGAGGGGCCGGTTATACAAACAAAATATTTTATTTTACGGGTCATAGATTCTATACCCATGTGTGTGCAGTATGTGCAGGTGTTTGGCTGCGTGTTTGCATCTGTGTTTAAGTGTTTATAACTATAGGGTATTGTAATGTGTGTTTAAATGATTATTGTTCCCGGTAGGTCTCAGTGATGTTAGACACACAAAATGTGTAAACTGTATCTGTCTCTGTTTGTAATTCTATGGATGTGTATCTACAGGAGTGATATCAGGCCCAGTCAGAGACCAGCAGAGCGTGGTATTGTAATGCTTATTTAAGTGAATAAGCCCTCAGAGTGACATAAATCAGAGCTGACTGGATAGAGGCAGGTTTGAAAACACGTTGAAATCACCCTGAAAACAACGTGCTGAGATATTCCACTGAGACTCAGGAAACACACAGGAATGTACATAAAGCAGACATCAGCGCCAGACACACACACACACACACACACACACACACACACACACACACACACACACACACACACACTCACACAGATAAAACACGAGGGACTGTTATGATGTAGGGCTGTGTTCCCGAAACCGTGTCTTATGGGTTACAGGTTGCAGCTTTCTAATGAAGCGTATGGAAACATCTCTTAACATGCAAACATAGGGATGCTGTTGTTATGACTTCAGGCTATTTTCTCTCAAATGTAATATATAAAAAGGTTATGGATACAATTTAGAATTGGACATAGTTCGCTGAAAAGAGTTGACCCAAAATCAACTGTTTGTTTCTGGGTCAGAATTACCATTTTGCTCTGTGCAATGTGAACGTTTCGGAGATAACAACTTTGGATGCTAATGAGTTCTTGGGTAGCTTGACTGTGAGCTCATAGAGTGAGCAGCCTACACTGTGCTTGAACAACTGACCTTTCGTGATTAGCCAGTCCAAATAAACCGTCAGCCTCTTTTTCTCTCTGTTTCTCTCTGTTTCTCTCTGTTTCTCTGTCTGTCTCTCTCTCTCTCTCTCTCTCTCTCTCTCTCTCTCTCTCTCTCTCTCTCTCTCTCTCTCTCTCTCTCTCTCTCTCTCTCTCTCTCTCTATCTCTCTATCTCTCTATCTATCTATCTATCTATCTATCTACCTGTTTAACTCTATCTACCTGTTTCTCACTCTTTCTATCTACCTGTTTCTCTCTCTCTCTATCTACCTGTTTCTCTCTCTCTCTATCTACCTGTTTCTCTCTCTCTCTATCTACCTGTTTCTCTCTCTCTCTATCTACCTGTTTCTCTCTCTCTCTATCTACCTGTTTCTCTCTCTTTCTCACTCTCTCTCACTCTCTTCACTCTCCCAGTCAATTCAGCTCCACAGAGAGGTAAATAAACACACAACCTCAACCTTAAACACCCCATAACTCTGTATCCAGGGTTAACATTACACATGAGATTCATTCTCACATGAGAGAGAAAGAGGGGAAAATGAGAGAGGTGGGGGATTATACAGCAGAAAACAGTTCATGCAGAGCAGGTGTGTCAATACATCACAAGCGGGAAACCTGACCAGTTCAGTGATGGGCAGACACACACAGTGGCAATAAACAGTATGTGAAGCCCTTGGAATTACAGTGGCTTGTATTCACCCCCATTGGCATTTTTCCTATTTTGTTGCCTTACAACCTGGAATTAAAATAGATTTTGGGGGGGTTTGTATCATTTGATTTACACAACATGCCTACCACTTTGAAGATGCAAAATATTTTTTTGGGTGAAACAAACAAGAAATAAGACAAAAAAACAGAAAACTTGAGCGTGCATAACTATTCACCCCCCCCAAAGTCAATACTTTGTAGAGGCACCTTTTGCAGCAATTACAGCTGCAAGTCTCTTGGGGTATGTCTCTATAAGCTTGCCCATTCTTCAAGGCAAAACTGCTTCAGCTCCTTCAAGTTGGATGGGTTCCGCTGGTGTACAGCAATCTTTAAGTAATACCACAGATTCTCAGTTGGGTTGAGGTCTGGGCTTTGACTAGGCCATTCCAAGACATTTAAATGTTTCCCATTAAACCACTCGAGTGTTGCTTTAGCCGTATGCTTAGGGTCATTGTCCTGCTGGAAGGTGAACCTCCGTCCCAGTCTCGAATCTCTGGAAGACTGAAACAGGTTTCCCTCAAGAATTTCCCTGTATTTAGCGCCATCCATCATTCCTTCAATTCTGACCAGTTTCCCTGCCGATGAAAAACATCCCCACAGCATGATGCTGCCACCACCTTGTTCTCGGGGTGATGAGAGGTGTTGGGTTTGCGCCAGACATAGTGTTTTCCTTGATGGCCAAAAAGCTCAATTTTAGTCTCATCTGACCAGAGTACCTTCTTCCATATGTTTGGGGAGTCTCCCACATGCCTTTTGGTGAACACCAAACGTGTTTGCTTATTTATTTATTGAACCAATTGTCACGCCCTGGCTCTGGGGACTTTTATATGTTGAGCCAGGGTGTTAGTTTCTATGTGTTAGTTTCTGGGTGTTAGGTTCTATGTTTCGTTTTCTATGTTCTTGTTCTAGTTTATGTGTTTCTATGTTGGCCGGGGTGGTTCCCAATTAGAGACAGCTGTGGCTCGTTGTCTCTGATTGGGAACCATACTTAGGCAGCCTATTGTGCACTTGTCTTTTGTGGGATCTTGTTCCGTGTAAGGTTTATGTTTGTGTTTGTGTTGGTGTTTAACCTTGGACTTCACGTATCGTTTATTGTTTTTGTTCGTGGTGTACTTAATAAATAAGAATGTACGCATATTACGCTGCGCCTTGGTCCGCTCATTACGACGATCGTGACAGAAGATCCCACCAAAACAGGACCAAGCAGCGTGTCCAGGAGCAAACGCCGGGTAAGGAGCTGGAGAGGTTGGCGATGGCCCAGGTGGGCCAATGTTGGTCCTGGGAGGACATGTTCGTGGGCAAAGGGCCATGGGCTAAAGTTAAAGCCCTGGCGAGAGAGGAGGTACGGCGCCAACAGTGTCATCGTCGGACAAATTTTTTTTGGGGGGCACACGGCATGGACGACGGGGCTGCTGGAGGCAGCTACAGGGCGAGTTTGTGGACTAGGAGAGGAGGCCACCAGGTTACGGGGGCCATTGGTCAGGAGGGAGAAGGAGAGTGTGGAGGCACGGCGAGAGGAACTGAGTAGGCAGCAGAGGGAGCGGAGGTTTATGAGGAAACCCAGTCCCACTCCTCGCACCAAGCAAGTGGTGTGTGTCACCAGTCCGGTCCGGCCCGTTCCTGATTCCCACACAAGGCCAGTGGTGTGTGTTCCCAGTACGGTCAGGCCCATTCCTGCTCCCCGCACTAAGTTAGTGGTGCGTGTTCCCAGTACGGCCCAACCCGTTCCTGCTCCCCGCACTAAGTTAGTGGTGCGTGTTCCTAGTACGGCCCAACCCGTTCCTGCTCCCCGCACTAAGTTAGTGGTGCGTGTTCCCAGTACGGCCCAACCCGTTCCTGCTCCCCGCACTAAGTTAGTGGTGCGTGTTCCCAGTACGGCCCAACCCGTTCCTGCTCCCCGCACTAAGTTAGTGGTGCGTGTTCCCAGTCCGGCCCGGCCTGTTCCTGCCCCTCGCACCAAGCCTGTGGTGCGAGTCGTCAGCCCTGGTCCGGCCCATTCCTGCTCCCCGCACCAAGCCAGTGGTGCGCGTCGCCATCCCGGTCCGGCCAGTTCCTGCCCCTCGCACCAAGCCTGTGGTGCACGTCGCCAGCCCGGCCCGGCCTGTTCCTGCCCCTCGCACCAAGCCTGTGGTGCGCGTCGCCAGCCCGGCCCGGCCTGTTCCTGCCCCTCGCACCAAGCCTGTGGTGCGCGTCGCCAGCCCGGCCCGGCATGTTCCTGCCCCTCGCACCAAGCCAGTGGTGCACGTCGCCAGCCCGGTCCGGCCTGTTCCTGCCCCTCGCACCAAGCTTGTGGTGCGCGTCACCAGCCCGGCCCGGCCTGTTCCTGCTCCTCGCACCAAGCCAGTGGTGCGCGTCGTCAGCCCGGTCCGGCCTGTTCCTGCTCCCCGCACCAAGCCAGTGGTGCGCGTCGCCAGCCCGGTCCGGCCTGTTCCTGCTCCCCGCACCAAGCCAGTGGTGCGCGTCGCCAGCCCGGTCCGGCCTGTTCCTGCTCCCCGCACCAAGCCAGTGGTGCGCTTCGTCAGCCCGGTCCGGCCCGTTCCTGCTCCCCGCACCAAGCCAGTGGTGCGCGTCGTCAGCCCGGTCCGGCCCATTCCTGCTCCCCGCACCAAGCCTGTGGTGCGCGTCGTCAGTCCGGCACAGCCCGTGCCTGTTTCACCGGTGCCTGGTCAGGTACCGGTCAGCTGCTCCACACCGGAGCCTAAGCAATCCGCTCCACCGATGTCCAGTCCAGCTCCAGCCAGCGGGACCAGACCAGGGGCGCTACGGGGGGTTAGTTAGAGGGTGGTGGTCACTCCCCTGTTGGGTTTAGTTGGCGCGGTCGCAGTCCGCGCCTTTGGGGGGGCGGGGTACTGTCACGCCCTGGCTCTGGGGACTTTTATATGTTGATCCAGGGTGTTAGTTTCTATGTGTTAGTTTCTGGGTGTTAGGTTCTATGTTTCGTTTTCTATGTTCTTGTTCTAGTTTATGTGTTTCTATATTGGCCGGGGTGGTTCCCAATTAGAGACAGCTGTGGCTCGTTGTCTCTGATTGGGAACCATACTTAGGCAGCCTATTGTGCACTTGTCTTTTGTGGGATCTTGTTCCGTGTAAGGTTTGTGTTTGTGTTGGTGTTTAACCTTGGACTTCACGTATCGTTTATTGTTTTTGTTCGTGGTGTACTTAATAAATAAGAATGTACGCATATCACGCTGCGCCTTGGTCCGCTCATTACGACGATCGTGACACCAATGGCTTTTTTCTGGCCACTCTTCCGTAAAGCCCAGCTCTGTGGAGTGGATGGCTTAAAGTGGTCCAATGGACAGATACTCCAATCTCCACTGTTGAGCTTTGCAGCTCCTTCAGGGTTATCTTTGGTGTCTTTGTTGTCTCTCTGATTAATGCCATCCTTGCCTGGTCCGGGAGTTTTGGTGGGCGGCCCTCTCTTGGCAGGTTTGTTGTGGTGCCATATTCTTTAAATTTTTTAATAATGGATTTAATGGTGCTCAGTGGGATGTTCAAAGTTTGGTCTTCATGGTGCCGCTTGCTTGGTGGTGTCCCTTGCTTAGTGGTGTTGCAGACTCTGGGGCCTTTCAGAACAGGTGTATATATACTGAGATCATGTGACAGATCATGTGACACTTAGATTGCACACAGGTGGACTTTATTTAACTAATTGTGTGACTTCTGAAGGTAATTGGTTGCACCAGATCTTATTTAGGGGCTTCATAGCAAAGGGGGTGAATACATATGCACGCACCACTTTTCCATTATTTTTTGAAACAAGTTATTTTTTTCATTTCACTTCACCAATTTGGACTATTTTGTGTATGTCCATTACATGAAATCCAATTAAAAATCAATTTAAATTACAGGTTGTACTGCAACAAAATAGGAAAAACGCCAAGGGGGATGAATACTTTTGCAAGGCACTGTACCTGGATTTCTGCATAAATTGGTCAACAAATGTGATCTGATCTTCATCTAAGTCACAACAATAGACAAACACAGTGTGCTTAAACTAATAACACACAAATTATTGTATTTTTCTTGTCTATATTGAATACATCATTTAAACATTCACAGTGTAGGTTGGGAAAAGTATGTGAACCCCAAGGCTAATGAGGTTTGCTATTCACAAGAAGCATTTCCGGATGTGAACCATGCCTCGAACAAAAGAGATCTCAGAAGACCTAAGATTACGAATTGTTGCATCAGGACAACGACCCAAAACACAGAAGTAAATCAACAACAGAATGGCTTCAACAGAAGAAAATATGCCTTCTGGAGTGGCCCAGTCAGAGTCCTGACCTCAACCCAATTGAGAAGCTGTGGCATGACCTCAAGAGAGCAGTTCACACCAGACATCACAAGAATATTACTGAACTGAAACAGTTTTGTAAAGAGGAACGGTCCAAAATTCCTCCTGACCATTGTGAAGGTCTGATCCGCAACTACAGAAAAGGTTTGGTTGAGGTTATTGCTGCCAAAGGTGGGGCAACCAGTTGTTAAATCCAAAGGTTTACAGAGTGTGTTCAATAAAGACATGGAAACGTATAATTGTTTGTGTTATTAGTTTAAGCAGACTGTGTTTGTCTATTGTTGTGACTTAGATGAAGATCAGATCACATGTTATGACCCATTTATGCAGAAATCCAGGTAATTCCAAAGGGTTCACATACTTTTTCTTGCCACTGTAGATGCAGACACACACAGAGACACACACACACAAACACACAGACACACACACACACACAGCTCTGCACCATACCCAAGGTTACGTGGTTCCAAAGTTACGGTTGGTCAGGGGGACAGGTTTATGGGCTGTCCAGACCTTTCCCCTCCTTCTGACAGCCAGACCCGAGCCAATGGTTCAAACCCGAGCCAATGGTTCAGACCCGAGCCAATGGTTCAGACCCGAGCCAACGGTTCAGACCCGAGCCAACGGTTCACGCTCAGGTGTTAGCCATGCACAGGCAGACACATGTAGTCCTACCCACAACATCACGCTTTGTCTCTGTCACACACAAACTTGCTGAGTTGTCCCACAAACATCACACACACACTAGCTCAAACGCTCATCCACTGACACTGCGGACACACGCACACGGAGACAGATGTTCCTAAATTCATAACTTTGGAATGTAGAAGCCTACTGAGCATGTGTTAGCTTTTGTCCTGTGGTTTGTGTGTGTCTGTGTGCGTGTGCGTGTGCGTGTGTGTGTGTGTGCATATGACTTGTGTATGGGTGGATGTGTGTGTGTACATCTGTGTCTGTGTGTGTGCACATGAATAAAAACTTTGTGCACAAAAAGCGGGTAGAGTGATTGACAGTTTATAATTGTCCATGAAAGGTTCACCTGAGCCAGGCTGTCTGAGGGTCTAAGCTGCTTGGAACTGGCTGTCTATAAGGATAAATCTAAAGACATGTATACATTTCAGTCTCTCTACACTGAAGCAACACTACGTGTGTGTGTGTGTGTGTGTGTGTGTGTGTGTGTGTGTGTGTGTGTGTGTGTGTGTGTGTGTGTGTGTGCGCACACACGCTCACACACACACACACACACACACCAATGCAGCAATCCTACACCTCCTAGACATCTGTCTCCTTAATAAGCGCAGGCTGAAGAATGATGCTCAATAAAAGACTAGAGACCATTAAACTCTCCTACTTGATTGGGTTTTACACCAGAACTTTATGCCTAGTTACAAGATAGACAAGTCTAGATATGAAATTAAGGTATATAGAGAAAAGTTATATGAGAATCTCTCTCTCTCTTGTTAAAAGGTTTGGGTGGAAATTAGCAGACCGTGAAGTTACTGTACGTAACCCTGAAGTGGAGGGAGAACACACAACACACAAGGCGGGAGAACACACACACACACACATTGTCCACGGTATGGAAAAGATTGCAAACCATCAGAGTCTTATCTCACAGTGTTGTTTTGAATCTGAGGGGATTGAATAATTCCTACACTGTATTTAAAACACAAAGAAATTAAAGCGTCTCAGAGTAGGGGTACTGATCTAGGATCTGACAATATATATTTACATTTTTACATTTTAGTCATTTAGCAGACGCTCTTACCCAGAGCGACTTACAGTTAGTGAGTGCATACATTATTATTATATATATCTATATATTTTCTTTTTTTTCAAACTGGCCCCCCATGGGAATCGAACCCACAAACCTGGCATTGCAAACGCCATGCTCTACCAACTGAGCTACGTCCCTGCCGGCCATTCCCTCCCATGCCCTGGACGACGCTGGGCCAATTGTGCGCCGCCCCATGGGTCTCCCGGTGCGCCGCCCCATGGGTCTCCCGGTCGCGGCCGGCTATGACAGAGCCTGGCTTTGACAGAGCCGGCTATGCAGTACCAATCAAAAGTTTGGACACACCTACTCATTCAAGGTTTTTCTTTATTTTTTTTTACTATTTTCTACATTGTAGAATAATAGTGAAGACATCAAAACTATGAAATAACACATATGGAATCATGTAGTAACCAAAAAAGTGTTAAACAAATCAAAATATATTTTATATTTGAGATTCTTCAAAGTAGTGTTATTTCATCGTTTTGATGTCTTCACTATTATTCTACTATGTAGAAAATAGTAAAACATTAAGAAAAACCCTTGAATGAGTAGGTGTGTCCAAACTTTTGACTGGTACTGTGTGTATATATAGTTGAAGTCGGAAGTTTACATACACTTAGGTTGGAGTCATTAAAACTCATTTTTCAACCACTCCACACATTTCTTGTTAACAAACTATAGATTTGGCAAGTCGGTTAGGACATATACTTTGTGCATGACACAAGTAATTTTTCCAACAATTGTTTACAGACAGATTATTTCACTTATAATTCACTGTATCACAACTCCAGTGGGTCAGAAGTTCACATACACTAAGTTGACTGTGCCTTTAAACAGCTTGGAAAATTCCAGAAAATGATGTCATGGCTTTAGAAGCTTCTGATAGGCTAATTGACATCATTTGAGTCAATTGGAGGTGTACCTGTGGATGTATTTCAAGGCCTACCTTCAAACTCAGTGCCTCTTTGCTTGATATCATGGGAAAATCAAAAGAAATCAGCCAAGACCTCAGAAAACAAATTGTAGACCTCCACAAGTTTGGTTCATCCTTGGGAGCAATTTCCAAATACCTGAAGGTACCACGTTCATCTGTACAAACAATAGTACGCAAGTATATACACCATGGGACCACGCAGCCGTCATACTGCTCAGGAAGGAGACGCGTTCTGTCTCCTAGAGATGAACGTACTTTGGTGCGAAAAGTGCAAATCAATCCCAGAACAACAGCATAGGACCTTGTGAAGATGCTGGAGGAAACAGGTACAAACGTATTTATATCCACAGTAAAACAAGTCCTATATCGACGTAACCTGAAAGGCCGCTCAGCAAGGAAGAAGCCACTGCTCCAAAACTGCCATAAAAAAGCCAGACAACAGTTTGCAACTGCACATGGGGACAAAGATCGTACTTTTTGGAGAAATGTCCTCTGATCTGATGAAACAAAAATATAACTGTTTGGCCATAATGACCATCGTTATGTTTGGAGGAAAAAGGGGGCCGCTTGCAAGCTGAAGAACACCATCCCAACCATGAAGCACGGGGGTGGCAGCATCATGCTATGCTGCAGGAGGGACTGGTGCACTTCACAAAATGCATGGCATCATGAGGAAGGAAAATTATGTGGATATATTGAAGCAACATCTCAAGACATTAGTCAGGAAGTTAAAGCTTGGTCGCAAATTAGTCTTCCAAATGGACAATGACTCCAAGCATACTTCCAAAGTTGTGGTAAAATGGCTTAAGGACAACAAAGTCAAGGTATTGGAGTGGGCATCACAAAGCTCTGACCTCAATCCCATAGAACATTTGTGGGCAGAACTGAAAAAGTGTGTGCGAGCAAGGAGGCCTACAATCCTGACTCAGTTACACCAGCTCTGTCAGGAGGAATGGGCCAAAATTCACCCAACTTATTGTGGGAAGCTTGTGGAAGGCTACTTGAAACGTTTGACCCAAGTTAAACAATTTAAAGGCAATGCTACCAAATACTAATTGAGTGTATGTAAACTTCTGACCCACTGGGAATGTGATGAAAGAAATAAAAGCTGAAATAAATCATTATCTCTACTATTATTCTGACATTTCACATTCTTAAAATAAAGTGGTGATCCTAACTGACCTAAGACAGGGAATTTTTACTAGGATTAAATGTCAGGAATTGTGAAAAACAGAGTTTAAATGTATTTGGCTAAGGTGTATGTAAACTTCCGACTTCAACTGTATATATTACTTTTTTTTGTTATGATCTTAAAGGTAAAACTGATCCTAGATCAGCACTCCTACTCTGATATGCTTTCTGGATGCGGGCCCAGAGCTCAGAGTCTGCTCTATATCGGTCAGGAGGGACGTTGTGTCATATAGAAATGCTCTCTTTGTGAAATTGCTGCTTTGAGGACTTTCTCTTTCTCTTCCTCCCTCTCTCTCCTTCCCTATCTCTCACTCACCCTACGTCTCTCCCTCATTTCCCCTCTTTCAATCTACCCTATTCCCCTTCTTTCCTTCTCTCTCTCTCCCTCCTCCCCTCTTTCCTTCTCTCTCTCTCCCTCCTCCCCTCTTTCCTTCTCTCTCTCTCCCTCCTCCCCTCTTTCCTTCTCTCTCTCCCTCCTCCCCCCTCTTCCCTCCCTACCTTCATCCCTCTTCAACATGTGCCAAATGAGCATTTTACTGCGCTCTGCTCACTTTAGATTTATAAGAACATAAAAACAGTCTTCTCTTAAATCTGCCTCCCTCGCTCCTCTCTGGCGGTGCAGGAGTCGAGTGCTGCCTCCCTTCCAGCCATCTGCTCTAGTCAGCCTCCCTCGCTCCTCTCTGACAGTGCAGGAGTCGAGTGCTGCCTCCCTTCCAGCCATCTGCGATAGTCATTAGGGTCTAAACATCTTCCATGTGGCAACAGAGACCTGGGCTCTGTAACGCCTGTAATAATGGCTATCTCTAACACGCACTGTTTTGTCTTGGTTGGTTTTTACCTCAGGTACTACTTCAAAGTCCAGGCGAAGAATGTCTTTGGGCTGGGACCGGTTAGCGATACACTCACCTATGTCACTGAATCAGGTCTGTATGAGTATTAGGTGAGGTTGCTAAATACTGTTCTACGGTCGGTTTTGCTTTGTGCCTGGAAATGGTTGTGGTTCTGGGATTGGGAATAGGTTTGCTGATCCTAGATCTACTAAGGCCACGTCTACTTGAGTTGTCCGTATCATCCTGTTTTTAGTTTATGTATGAATTCTGTTCCAGTTCATGTCTCTCATTTGAATGTTTTCTGTTTTTCAGATGACCCTCTTCTTATTGAACGGCCGCCTGGTGAGTTGTATCGAAATGTCTCATATGTTACTCTTACTCTAACAATATTGACAAAACATGTTGGCCTAAATTGCTCTAGTCCAGAAGATAATAATAATAATAATAATATGCCATTTAGCAGACGCTTTTATCCAAAGCGACTTACAGTCATGCGTGCATACATTTTTACGTATGGGTGGTCCCGGGGATCGAACCCACTACCCTGGTGTTACAAGCACCATGCTCTACCAATTGAGCTACAGAGGACCGCAAGATCACTGCTTCAGGTCATTTGAAGAAACTCAAAGTGACAGTTGGAGTGAGCTGGTGAGGAGTTAACAGTCTGTGGCATACCAAAGGCTACATGCACCTACACTGACATATACTGGACTTGGCAGACATCCATAGTGGTAAAACGATGCCAAAGTACTGTTTTGGTATTTATTGTTTTTAATTAAGAGAGTCAGTCAGGTATTTCGAGGAGGGGGATGAGGGGGGCAGGTGCTGGTTCACTCCCTCCCCTCTCACCTCTTCCTCCCCCCTCCCTTGGGTGCTATGCACAATTTGCTGTGTATCTGAAAAGGAGAGACTGGCATATTGAGAACTGGCAGTAAAGGGGATGTGTAGTTAGTCTTGACTAGCTCTGTGAGAACTGACAGGTTGAGTGTAGTTTTTTTATTTCTATTTTTATTTAACCTTTATTTTATCAGGGAGTCATACTGAGACCAAGGTGTCTTTTACAGCCCTGAAATATATAAATTACAGAAAATACACACATCAAAATAAAAATACAAAATGCAAGCAGAAAGAAAGAAAGAAACACGGTCATAAAAAACAAAGACATTCATCAGTAAAAAGGTCCTTCATCAGCGATCTGAATTGGCCTAGAGGCACCAAAACATAAACTTTTCCGAACATTTTGAAGATTGTTCCCCAAATAAAGTGCAAAAAATCTAAAAGCTGATTTACCTAACTCAGTAGACACCAAAGGAATTGTGGTGTATTGAGAAATGTATTATGTGTTAATGAGTTTAGATTTTAAATGGTTGCAAATAGCCAATGGGATTTGTATGCAGGGGTTGAGTTATTTGAATTAACAAATGACAATGGGGTTTATCCGTTCTTGCATTGAAGTGATTGAATTACGTGATGCAAGGGCAGTGAAAGTTCAATGATGTATTGGGGAGTTGGGCTGAAGACACTGTAGAGAGTGGTCAACTGGAATGTGTTAAGGAGAACATGAAATAAATCTGTTCTGTTTATTATAAGTACGCTTCAGAGTCTTCAGTAAAAGAACCCAGCATCTTAGGATGCAACAGGAATTTCCAGAGTTAGCCATCCCTGAGACCGGGTGTGATAACTCGTATGTCTAAAGTTTAGTAATGATGTTAGGTACAGTGGGACTTTTTGTATAAGTAAATAAATGAAAACATAGCAATGTATCAACCTACGTGACATCAAAGAGGGCCAACCAACTTTCTGGTAGAGAATGCAGCGATAAGTGCTAAAACTGTTGCCCATAATAAAGCGCATTGCGTTATGTTAAACTGCATCTAACGACTTTAATGAAGTAGCAGCTGCGTTCATATAGATGATGTCGCCATAGTCTAGGACCGATAGGAACGTCGACTGAATAATCTGCTTTCTACTATTTATCGAGAGGCAGGACCTTTTTCTATAGAAGAAGACCATTTTTATTCTAAACTAACTCGTCAATATGCTTTTTAAAAGACAGCTTTTCATCTATCCAGATGCCCAGATACAGTGAGGGAAAAAAGTATTTGATCCCCTACTGATTTTGTACGTCTGCCCACTGACAAAGAAATGATCAGTCTATAAATTTAATGGTAGGTTTATTTGAACAGTGAGAGACAGAATAACAACAAAAAAATCCAGAAAAACGCATGTAAAAAATGTTATAAATTGATTTGCATTTTAATGAGGGAAATAAGTATTTGACCCCTTCTCAATCAGAGAGATTTCTGGCTCCCAGGTGTCTTTTATACAGGTAACGAGCTGAGATTAGGAGCACACTCTTAAAGGGAGTGCTCCTAATCTCAGTTTGTTACATGTATAAAAGACACCTGTCCACAGAAGCAATCAATCAATCAGATTCCAAACTCTCCACCATGGCCAAGACCAAAGAGCTCTCCAAGGATGTCAGGGAATTGTAGACCTACACAAGGCTGGAATGGGCTACAAGACCATCGCCAAGCAGCTTGGTGAGAAGGTGACAACAGTTGGTGCGATTATTCACAAATGGAAGAAACACAAAAGAACTGTCAATCTCCCTCGGCCTGGGGCTCCATGCAAGATCTCACCTCGTGGAGTTGCAATAATCATGAGAACGGTGAGGAATCAGCCCAGAACTACACGGGAGGATCTTGTCAATGATCTCAAGGCAGCTGGGACCATAGTCACCAAGAAAACAATTGGTAACACACTACGCCGTGAAGGACTGAAATCCTGCAGCGCCAGCAAGGTCCCCCTGCTAAAGAAAGCACATATACAGGGCCGTCTGAAGTTTGCCAATGAACATCTGAATGATTCAGAGGAGAACTGTTTGAAAGTGTTGTGGTCAAATGAGACCAAAATCGAGCTCTTTGGCATCAACTCAACTCGCCGTGTTTGGAGGAGGAGGAATGCTGCCTATGACCCCAAGAACACCATCCCCACCGTCAAACATGGAGGTGGAAACATTATGCTTTGGGGGTGTTTTTCTGCTAAGGGAACAGGACAACTTCACCGCATCAAAGGGACGATGGACGGGGCCATGTACGATCAAATCTTGGGTGAGAACCTCCTTCCCTCAGCCAGGGCATTGAAAATGGGTCGTGGATGGGTATTCCAGCATGACAATGACCCAAAACACACGGCCAAGGAAACAAAGAAGTGGCTCAAGAAGAAGCACATTAAGGTCCTGGAGTGGCCTAGCCAGTCTCCAGACCTTAATCCCATAGAAAATCTGTGGAGGGAGCTGAACGTTCGAGTTGCCAAACGTCAGCCTCGAAACCTTAATGACTTGGAGAAGATCTGGAAAGAGGAGTGGAACAAAAAACCTGAGATGTGTGCAAACCTGGTGGCCAACTACAAGAAACGTCTGACCTCTGTGATTGCAAACAAGGGTTTTGCCACCAAGTACTAAGTCATGTTTTGCAGAGGGGTCAAATACCTATTTCCCTCATTAAAATGCAAATCAATTTATAACATTTTTGACATGCGTTTTTCTGGATTTTTTTGTTATTATTCTGTCTCTCACTGTTCAAATAAACCTACCATTAAAATTATAGACTGATCATGTCTTTGTCAGTGGGCAAACGTACAAAATCAGCAGGGGATCAAATACTTTTTTCCCTCACTGTACTTGTAAGCAGGGACACGATCAATATGGACACCATCCAAAGTACATGCTTAAATCATCAGTTATTTGTACAGTTGATGTCGGAAGTTTACATTCACCTTAGCCAAATACATTTAAACTCAGTTTTTCACAATTCCTGACATTTAATCCTAGTAAAAATTCCCTGTCTTAGGTCAGTTAGGATCACCACTTTATTTTAAGAATGTGAAATGTCAGAATAATAGTAGAGAGAATGATTTATTTCAGCTTTTATTTCTTTCATCACATTCCCAGTGGGTCAGAAGTTTACATACACTGAATTAGTATTTGGTAGCATTGCCTTTAAATTGTTTAACTTGGGTCAAACGTTTCGGATAGCCTTCCTCAAGGCCCATTCCTCCTGACAGAGCTGGTGTAACTGAGTCAGGTTTGTAGGCCTCCTTGCTCGCACACGCTTTTTCAGTTCTGCCCACACATTTTCTATAGGATTGAGGTCAGGGCTTTGTGATGGCCACTCCAATACCTTGACTTTGTTGTCCTTAAGTCATTTTGCCACAACTTTGAAAGTATGCTTGCGGTTATTGTCCATTTGGAAGACCATTTGCGACCAAGCTTTAACTTCCTGACTGATGTCTTGAGATGTTGCTTCAATATATCCGCATAATTTTCCTTCCTCATGATGCCATCTATTTTGTGAAGTGCACCAGTCCCTCCTGAAGCAAAGCACCCCCACAGCATGATGCTGCCACCCCCGTGCTTCACGGTTGGCATGGTGTTCTTCGGTTTGCAAGCCTTCCCCTTTTTCCTCCAAACATAACGATGGTCATTATGGCCAAACAGTTCTATTTTTGTTTCATCAGACCAGAGGACATTTCTCCGAAAAGTACGATCTTTGTCCGCATGTGCAGTTGCAAACCATACTCTGGCTTTTTTATGGCGGTTTCGGAGCAGTGGATTCTTCCTTGCTGAGCGGCCTTTCAGGTTATGTCGATATAGGACTTGTTTAACTGTGGATATAGATACGTTTGTACCTGTTTCCTCCAGCATCTTCACAAGGTCCTTTGCTGTTGTTCTGGGATTGTTTTGCACTTTTCGCACCAAATACGTTCATCTCTAGGAGACAGAACGCGTCTCCTTCCTGAGCGGTATGATGGCTGCGTGGTCCCATGGTGTATATACTTGTGTACTATTGTTTGTACAGATGAACGTCCTACCTTCAGGCGTTTGGAAATTGCTCCCAAGGATGAACCAGACTTGTGGAGGTCTACAATTAATTTTCGGAGGACTTGGCTGATTTCTTTTGATTTTCCCATGATGTCAAGCGAAGAGGCACTGACTTTGAAGGTAGGCCTTGAAATACATCCACAGGTACACCTCCAATTGACTCAAATGATGTCAATTAGCCTATCAGAAGCTTCTAAAGCCATGACATAATTTTCTGGAATTTTCCAAGCTGTTTAAAGGCACAGTCAACTTAATGTATGTAAACTTCTGACCAACTGGAATTATGATACAGTGAATTATAAGTGAAATAATCTGTCTGTAAACAATTGTTGGAAAAATTACTTGAGTCATGCACAAAGTAGATGTCCTAACCAACTTGCCCAAAACTATAGTTTGTTAACAAGACATTTGTGGAGTGGTTGAAAAACTAGTTTTAATGACTCCAACCTAAGTGTATGTAAACTTCCGACTTCAACTGTATGTGCTCTAGAGAACAACATATACTTACTTTTACCTGCATTCAATACTAATTTCAGGTCAATCAAGTTTTTCTGTAATACATTGAAGGCAGACTTTAGTTCAGATAGAGCCTGGTCAACCGTGGGGGCAATAGCATACACAATAGTATCATTGGCATACAAGTGCAGGTTACAATTTTTTACAGACAAGTCGATATTGTTAATGTAAACAGTAAAAAGTACAGGACCCAAAATCAACCCTTGCGGGACACCTTTCATAATGTCCAGGAAACCTGATTTAACACCATCAATAGATACACATTGAGTTATATCTGTCAAGTAATTTTTAAACCAGTTACATGCATCCTGGTCTAGGCCAATTGAGAAAAGCCTCTGAATTAGCATTGAAAGCCTTTGACAGGTCAATGAAGAGGGCAGCACAATGTTGCCTTTTATCCATAAAATTAACCACATGATTTATAACTAGGGATGCAGCAGAGATGGTGCTATGACCTGGTCTAAAACCCAACTGATGTACATTTAGAATACATTTCAAAGATAAGAAAGATCTTAGCTGAGAATTAATCAAGGATTCTAATATTTTAGCTAGGCAGAAAATTTAGAATTAGGGCGATAATTATTTAGGTCACAAGGGTCACCACTTTTGTGAAGGTGGAGTACATGAGCCGCCTTCCAAACAATTTACATTTTAGTCATTTAGCAGACGCTCTTATCCAGAGCGACTTACAGTTAGTGAGTGCATACATTTTCATACTGGGGATAGTACCAGATATAATCGTCAGGTAAAAAAATATGGGTTAATGATTCAGCAATCACGGGGGCAGAGAGCTGCAACAAAAATGTATCAAGCATATCAGCCCCAGACATTTTTTTTACATCAAACTTAAGCAAGGCATCTAGCACATCACAGATGGTAAATTGCTGAAATGAAAACAAAGATTCACTAGAAGTTGACGTGTTAACCGTTGTTCGCTAGAGGCTGGCAGAGGGAAGAGCAGTCGATTAGTTAGTCTTGACTAGCTCTGTTAGAACTGAGTAGGTATTAATGACTAGCTTTGTGAGTGTAGCATTAAGTAAGCACTCTGTTAGATCAGGAGGGACTGTCATTAAGGACATGCTGAGCGCTCACCCTTCACCGCAACAGTTTAGTGGTCATGTAATATATGCCATTTAGCAGACACTTTTACATTGTAGTTATTTAGAAGACACGCTTATCCAGAACAACTAGGGTTAAGTGCCTTGCTCAATGGCACATCGACAGATTTTTCACCTAGTCGGCAGGGATTCAAACCAACGACTTTTCGGTTATTAGCTCAATGCTCTTAACCGCTAGGCTACCTGCCTTCCTCTAGGTGGAGAGCCTATCTGGATCCCCTTCTCCTTCAGATTCAACCCCCAGCACAGTGCCTGTAAGGGCAGCCAGTACGTCAAGAGGACCTGGTACAGAAAGTTTGTGGGCGTGGTCCTGTGCAACTCGCTGAGATACAAAATCTTTATGGGAGATGGGCTGAAAGGTACTACTGCTGTTACTTCTCACCTTCCTCTCCTCCTTTATCTCCTTCTCTCTCAAGTTTAAGTCTTTGATCAATTCAAGTTGCTTTACAGTTTCTCCTATTTTTTCTTTTATAATCTCACCACCATGTATCTCCCTCCCACTTTCCAGTTTTTCTTTCACTACCATCCCCTCTTGCTCTCCCTTTCATTCTCTCACTCTTTCACTACATTTATCTTAATCACACCCTTTCTTTCCGTCTCTCATTTCTACACTACTGGGTGTTTTATTGTTTTGGGGCTCTGTGGTCTCATTACATAATGGAATATTGTGTGAGAGAGTGTTCTGTTGTTAACCATTGACTGCTCTCCCATCTCTGTATATCTCACTCTATCTCTCCCTCCATCTCTCTCTGTCTCTCATCTCTCTTTCCCTCCAGAAACGTTCTACAGTATAGCAGACACATTCGGCCATGGGGAGGACCACTGCCAGTTTGTAGACTCTTACCTAGACGGGAGGACAGGCTCCCCCAGCCTCTCAACGTATCTTCCCACAGCACAAGGTAATAAAAACGAACAAATTAACTCCCAGAATTCATCACTCACCTACAGCCTGGTGATATTAAAAATAATTATATTCTAATTCATATTAAGTCCCATAGCCTTGATTATATACAACCTCAATATCCTTGCTCTAGGCTGAATAGAAACAGTCAGAATCATCTAACGAAGCATTATAAATGTGTTACATCTATTCATAATTCATTATAACACTCTCTGTCCTCCTCTGTGCAGGTTACTATCGATCATACAGGCAGGAGCCAGTCAACTTCGGACCTATTGGCCGGCATACGCCACATCCCTTCGTGGGATGGTACGAGTGCGGGGTGCCCATCCCTGGCAAGTGGTAACACAGGGGGTCACAAAGAGGTCATCATCGAGGGCATCCAAACTCCATCCTGCTGCAGCCTCTCTCGTGCTCTCACTGACCCCGCCCCCTGGAGATGAACTGTTGCTAACCACAGCAGAAAGACAACATTCCAAACTTATACTGCTCAGATCAAAGAGAATATAATACTTTAAACAACACTAATATTTCCATGTATTCATTACCATGCACTTTTATAAAAGCAGTTTGTATATGAGGGGGAAAAAGCATGTATTGCTAATGCTTAGTTTAACTTTTGTCTTCCGGATCGGAAAGAATCCTTGTTTATTCCCAACTATTCTCAAGTGGAAGTGCACCTGTGATCATGAAATCACTAATGAAATGGGAGATCCTGTAAAAGACCAAAGCACAAACTGAACAGTACTAATGGGAGAGTAGGGTTTGTATGTGTGTTTATTATCAATCAAGAGACCTTGTTCATAACAGTAGTATGATACAGTAATGGCTTTTGACAACTAGTTTTGGTGTCAGTTTTCTTGAACATGCATAGTGTTTTTATACTCTTTGGTATTACGAGACTCCATAAGATCAGAAGTTGCTGTGGAAGTGTTGTATGTACACAGACAATGAATAACAATACTTAATATTTGCTCAGGAATGGTTGGACATTAAATAAATGTGCTATGGAAAACAAGGAACCCCTTAATGTTTAATTTGTTCCGTGAGAATATCTGAATGTCCATGTTTAAGGAAACTCAATCTGTCAAATACTGAGCAAATTGTAACAATGACGCTGTGAGTCGAGAAGCAGGTGCAGGTGAAACGTTTAATAAAACAACAAATATGAAACGAGACAGCGTAACAAGGGCGATATAGCATAAACACAGGAACAATACCGACTGAGGACTAAACGTAAGGGAGGGACATATAAAGGGGAGGTAATGAGGAAGGTAATGGAGTCCAGGTGTGAATCAAAATGATCTGCAGGTGCGCGTAATGATGGATGTCAGGTGTGCGTAATGATGAATCCCAGGACCGGTGGTTAGTATTCCGGCAACGTCACACACCGGAGTGGAGGAGCAGGAGTAGACGTGACAGTACCCCCCCTCTGATGCATGGCTCCCGCCGCAGGACGACACCGACCAGAGGGATGACCCCGAGGACGAGGAGCGGGTCGGTCCGGGCGGCGAAGTTGGAAATCACGGATGATGTTGGGATCCAGAATGTCCTCCACCGGAACCCAACACCGCTCCTCTAGGCCATACCCCTCCCAGTCCACCAGGTACTGGAGCCGACCCCCACGATGCCGAGAGTCCAGTAGGGATCTGACAGCATACGCTGGACTCCCCTCGATGTCCATGGGGGGGTGTCGTGGGGGATAGCTTCAGCTAGGGGACCAGGAACCACCGGCCTGAGAAGGGAGACATGAAAAGAGGGTGAGATACGATAGTGACTGGGCAGCTGTAACCTATACGTCACCTCATTGACCCTCCGGAGAACCTTGAACGGCCCCACAAACCGGGGGCTCAGTTTCTTGCAGGGCAGGCGGAGTGGGAGGTTCCTGGTAGAAAGCCAGATGCGATCCCCAGGGTGGAACACAGGGGTCTCACTGCGGTGGCGGTCTGCCTGTTCCTTTTGACGATGGACGGCGCGCTGGAGTCTCATGTGAGCTTCGCTCCACACCTCTTCTGCGCACCGGAACCACACATCAACCGCAGGAGCTTTGATCTGGGCCAGGGCCGGCTGAAAACCCAGAATACACTGGAAGAAGGTCAACCCAGTGGAGGAGTGACGTAGCGAGTTCTGGGCGTACTCTGCCCATGGAAGGAATTGTGCCCACTCACCCTGCCGGTCCTGACAGTGACTCCTCAGGAACCTCCCCAGCTCCTGGTTCATCCTCTCCACCTGCCCGTTGGACTGAGGCCGGTACCCGAAAGTGAGGCTGACCGTGACCCCGAGCTTCTCCATGAAGGCCCTCCATACTCGTGATGTGAATTGGGGCCCACGGTCAGAGACAATGTCCTCCGGAAGGCCATAATGCCGGGAGACCTGCTTGAAGAGTGCCTCAGCGACCTGGAGAGCAGTGGGGAGACCAGGCAGAGGGATTAAATGACAGGACTTAGAAAATCTATCCACTACCACCAAAATGGTGGTGAAACTATCAGAGGAGGGGAGATCGGATACAAAGTCAATGGATAGATGTGACCAGGGTCGCTGAGGCACGGGAAGTGGCAGGAGCTTCCCTGCTGGATCGTTCCCGGGGGGACATGTTTTGAGCACATACGGAACAGGAGTTGACATAGCGAGTGATGGGCCACCAGTATTTCCCAGAGCTCACAATAACCAACGTCGTAATTCCTCTCTGCAGAGGACAGTTTCTTAGAGTAAAACACACATGGTACAACTTCTGTGGGTTACCCTGTCGTTGAGACAGAACTGCCCCCACGCCTACCTCTGAAGCGTCCACCTCCACCACAAAGGATGTCATGGGATCTGGGTGTTTGAGCACTGAGGCGGAGGTGAAACGTCCTTTGAGTAGACAGAAGGCCTCATCGGCTGCTGTTTCCACACCAACCTACGGGGCCCTCCTTTAAGGAGAGAGGTGAGAGGAGCGGCGACAGAGCTGAAGTTCCTGATGAAGCTGCGGTAGAAGTTGGAAAAACCCCAAAAACCGTTGTAACCCCTTTAAGGTGGTTGGAACTGGCCATGACCTGACTGCATCTACCTTCTTGTCGTCCATCTTCACACCCTGCGGACTGATTTGGTAGCCTAAGAAGGACACCGTCCTCTGGTGAAATTTGCACTTCTCAGCTTTGACGAACAGGTGGTTGGCGAGAAGGCGTTCCAGGACAAGCTCGAACGTGAATGACGTGATCCTCCAAGGTAGCCGAGTAGATCAGGATGTCATCGATATACACGACCACCTGGCGGCCGAGCATGTCCCTGAACACCTCGTTAACGAATGCCTGGAACACTGACGGAGCATTGGCTAAGCCATATGGCATTACCAAGTACTCGTACTGACCAGACATCATGCTAAATGCCGTCTTCCACTCATCCCCCTCCAGGATGCGGATGAGATTGTAAGCACTCCGCAGGTCCAGTTTGGTAAAGAACTGGGACCCGCGGAGCTGCTCGATGGCTGACGGCAGCAATGGGAGAGGGTACCGATACTTTGAGGTGATTTCATTGAGTCCTCTGTAGTCAATGCAGTCATCCTTATAGGCCATGAAGAAGAAACCAGCCAACGCAGGGGAAGTGGACGTGCGGATGAAACCTTGTTGGAACGCCTCTTGGATGTAATCCTCCATGGCCTGGGTCTCAGCCACCGACAGAGGGTAGATGCGTTTGCGCAGAGGCGCAGAACCTGAAAGCAGGTTGATGGCACAGTCCCAGGGGCGATGAGGAGGAATACAGGTGGCGCGGGTCTTGGAGAATACCTCCCGCAGGTCCTGGTATACCTCCGGAATGTTGGGCTGCAGGGCAACCACAGGACTCTCAACCGACGTGGAACCACAGGGGACAGGGAAGCAGGTCCTCCGGCATTCGAGTGACCAGTCTGTAATTCTCATTCTCGACCATGAGATGGTAGGATTATGGCGTTGAAGCCAAGGGAGGCCGAGGATGATCTTGTGGACTGGTGCACTGGTAATGAAGAAGGGAATGTTCTCCTGATGAATGGACTCCAACGGTGAGGGTGAGTGGTTGAGTGATATGGGTGACGTTTCCGGATCCTAAAGGCTGACTATCCAGGGCTTGAACCGGAAAAGGAGACGAGAGCGGGTATGAGTTGATGTTAAGAGGGTAGGCAAGGGTCTGGTCAATAAAGTTCCCCGCGGCACCGGAATCCACTATCGCTGTAGACACAGTACATGAGGGACAGTCAGCTAGTGTAATGGACACCAAAAAGAGCCTAGTAGACAGTGATGAAGATGGAATACTCACTCCTGCCCTAGGGGTGGAAGATCACGTGACCGTCCCTCTGCTCTTGTGGATCCCTGATTCAGACATGCCGGACACCTCTGGAGCATGTGCCCTCCCTCTCCACAGTACAGACAGAGCCCCAGCTGTATCCGTCTGCGGCGCTCTGCCACGGGGAGACGAGTGACCCCTACCTCCATGGGTTCAGACTTTGATTCCAAGTGTTCACTGAGGGAGGGAGAGAAGCAATGAGAGTACCGGCGCTCCCGAAGTAGGTTATCCAGACGGATGGCCATCGCAATGAGTGCGTCCAAGGAGAGGTTGTCGTCTCAACAGGCCAGTTCCGTCTGGACCTCTTCACACAAACCTCTTCTAAATAGTGTACGAAGCGCCGGCTCATTCCATCCACTGGATGCTGCTACTGTCCGAAAGGTGAGCGCGTACTCAGCAGCCGTCTGGTTACCCTGCTGTAATTGCAGTACCTCTCGGTGGTGGGAGCTCCCCTCTGATGCGAAAAATAGAGAGAGCACTGAAGTAGGAAGCCACGGCATTTTGATGGTGTACCGTCATATTTATCCGGGAGGGATAAATGGGCATCGCTGATCTGAGCGGGTTGCTGAATGGGCTGATGTGCTGCCTCGTTGGGTCGACTGGTTGTAGAGTATCCTCCGCTGGATTAAGACAATGCCTCCTTGGTGTGTTCGAGACGTTGCACACTGAGAAGAACCTCCTCCATAACCAATCCCAGTTGTGCCAGCTGGTCATGGTGTTGACGTAGAAGATAACCCTGTTCATCGATCGTCTGAGAGATATTCGAATTTCCTGCTGCTTCCATGGTTTGAGTCGGTATTCTGTAACAATGACGCTGTGAGTCGAGAAGCAGGTGCAGGTGAAACGTTTAATAAAACAACAAACATGAAACGAGACAGCGTAACAGTGGCGATATAGTATAAACACAGGAACAATACCGACTGAGGACTAAACGTAAGGGAGGGACATATAAAGGGGAGGTAATGAGGAAGGTAATGGAGTCCAGGTGTGAATCATATTGAACTGCAGGTGCGCGTAATGATGGATGCCAGGTGTGCATAATGATGAATCCCAGGACCGGTGGTTAGTATTCCGGCAACGTCGCACACCGGAGGGGAGGAGCAGGAGTAGACGTGACACAAATAGAGTTTCAGTTTCAATTTAGTTTCATAACCTGTCTAAACTATGTACTACACAAGAGGGGACAAAATCAGTTGGAAACTGTTAAAATTGCAGGCAAAGGCCAAGAATATAAGTTTTTTAAGGGGTGAGAGAGAGAGAGAGAGAGAGAGAGAGAGAGAGAGAGAGAGAGAGAGAGAGAGAGAGAGAGAGAGAGAGAGAGAGAGAGAGAGAGAGAGAGGGCATTTGTTAGTTAGACATTCCAGCAGGAGTAACGGGGCCCAAGAGCTTTCAGTGAAACGACAGGTTTCTATGTATGAAGGAAGACTGAGCTACTTGTACAATGTCACTTTCTTGTGATAACAGCAGAGTGATGATGTGTAATATATTCATGAATCCAGGAGTTCGCTGGAGGAGAGGAGATGTTCTTTGGAAGGAAGGGAGGAACTTTCTGGAAACAGTTTTGATATCTTTATGGTTGACTGTTTTCATTTTCTGTAATGTTTTGCTCTCTTGAACAAACTCAGTCTATGCAGTATGCAGTGCCTCTGGAAACTGTATTTCATTCTCGAAAGGTATCTACACTATTTAGTTTCCACATTACCTCCCTAAAAGTGAAAAGATATTCCTATTAAAATGTAATGACTTATTTATCAGGGGAATTCATTCTCATTGTCAATCTCTGGTTGTAGCCCTCTTGTATGTATACAGGTGTAGGATCTTAATTTGATCACTCTTTTGTTGCTGAGAATTTTCCTGCACCACAGGAAATGCAGATGAGCTTCGTGATTTACATTAATCCACTGAAAACCCACACCAACAGACTTTTGATGTAGCCTACTTTTGGCCAGCTAATAACCTAACCACAGATCAAGCAACATTATGGACTAAACATTAAAATCCTATTGCTGCAGGATTATTTTGCTGTGACAATATAGGTCAAATTAAGATCCTATATCTGTACTGGTTTTGTCCTTCTTACTCTATGAAATTAATATTTCAAGACCCAATAAAAAATACATTATTTCTAGGAATCCCAGAGGCACTGGAGACAGGAGAGTTAAATAGTGGTGAGGTTAGCCTTGCTTTCGTTTGCTACATAAACATGGCACACACTCTTACCCTAAAGCTCCATTCATCTGTTTTATTCCATAGTATATGTCTTTCTGATTGATGCCTTCAATAACTCACAACAGCAGGACCAGCAAGCTAGTCTGCCCTCTGCTAAGTACGTCTGGCACATCTGAGTTGTCCTATAAGAGTAATTTATTTAATTTACCAGTGTTCTCAAAATGTGCATTTCTCTGTTTTCTGTGCCATCAACAGGTCCCCACAGCAAGCTAAATCAGAGAAAGTAACAGGGTATACCTGCAAGGCTACACCCAAAGATACATTTATCATCACTATAATTAATTCAATATTAGGTGAAGTATGTCCTTCATGACCCATAACAGAATAGTTTTTATTTTCCATTGTGGCATCCATCACTGAGAGAGTTAGTCTCCATCACCATGTTGGCTTCACCATTAGGAAAGTGGCCCATTCTCTCACCATGTTGGCATCACAGCCAGTCAGAACTCAACCATAGAAGAATACTGCAGTGTTATCAGAGTGAACCCAGCAGTTCCTTATCTGCTGCGTTTAAACAAAGTTTTGTTTGGGTTGGCTGATGTTAGTCAGACGTGTCGTGGCGGTCGGTCCCATTTAAAAGGCATCACAGCAGGGTGAACTGGGTGACACCCCTAATAGGCCAAGTAATGATTTTCACAGGGGGAAATGGTTGTATTTGGGTTGATAGTGCAACCATTTTGTAGTTTATTTCAGATAGAGTTGCAGGTGAAGGCTGCTTCTGCTTCCCTTCTGGGTTTGACTCTACGCAAAAATATTTTTATTGGCTCCTCACTGTCTTACAGTGCGGCAATTCTGAGCTGAAGATGGAACAGTGGCGTGGTCCATTCTCAAATGTTCTTAACAGCAGCAGGATGACCCCACAGTTGATACACATTCAAAGACTATATACTATAAGCCTGAGTAAGTGTCTTTCTTTTGGGTAAGAGGAGAGGAGAGAGAATGTGAGGGAAGGAGACAGGAGGAGGAGAAACACACTGCAATAGCACATGCTATGGGACAACCACATCTGCTACAGATGTTGGAGAGAAGCGATAAAATCACTTTGTACAGACTCCTGGACTTTGATGTGTGTGCGTGTGTGTGTGCGTGCATGCGTGTGTGTGTGTGTGTGTGAGAGAGAAAAAGAGAGGGAAAAAGAGAAAGAGAACATCAACAGAAAATATGAAAAGGTCAGGAATAATGAGAAAGTGGAAAAGAAAAGAAAATAATAATAGATGGGCAGATCACTGATGCAACAGGCCTCTGTTTGGAACAGCAGCTGGTTATAAAGAAGACAACAACACCATAGTAACTTAATAGATGTTTGATATGATCCACAGGCACACCATGGCTGATCGTATTCCATTGAAAGAGAGAGGCTGCGTCCGAAATGGCATCCTTTTCTCCCCTGTATAATATAAAAGTAGTGCATTATATAGGGATTAGGGTGCCATTTCAGATCACTAGAGAGAACGCTTTGGTTGCTCTCATAATGGCTTTATTCTGTTGTTCTTCAGTTTCCTGTTGTTAGAAAGAAAATAAAAGCTTGTTGACTTTCCCGTTTCCTCTGCAGTAAACATTTAGCTTAGTTGGATTGTCTCTGGCAGCGTCTGCTCTGGTTTGGCATCAGACCAATGATGAGCTCACCGATCTGAGGAGAGCAGGAGAGGAGCGAGGGATCGACGACCTAGCCAAGTGGTGCAGCAAGCACTACACAGGTGAGGTAACACCCCTGAAATCAGCAGGTTGGTACGCTCCAAAGACGGCATAGGAGATTCAATACTTTCTATCTTATCAACATTAATCCGCACTATCCTCTCCTCTTCATAGACTCACATTCATATCCATGTATTATAACCTACACAATTATTCCATGCAGCGGTACCAGAAACTGCACATGTGAGAGATTCTTCTGTCTGTGTCATATCCTCTATAATATTTTTCATGCATTTAAGTGAAAGTCAAGGTCTGGATGCTGTGCAACACTGCAGATCCTTTATATAAAAGAGGGCCAAAAGGCCATGGTGGCTTGATTGAGTCCATGCCTAAGTAATTTTACACACGTGGACCTCACATTATAAAACTGAGCCATCTTTTTCAGTCCAGCTCCCAAATACCAGGAGATTTTTTAAAACAAAAACAATGCTATTGGCTACACCATATTCATCAAGGGTGACCCAATTTCCATATATTTGGATAACGGACATAACCATGCTTCATTACAAGGTTATTAAAACGTCAATTACAACAATTTGCGGCCGCGGTAAGAAAACACAGGTCCTTTAACTGTTTTCTACATGCTGCTGCTTTTGTGTGTGTGTCGTTTTGAATAAGTAGGTCATGCTCTGTTTGGGCTGGAAAATGTTAGCCCTCATTCTGGAGAGATTAAATCATCGCTATGGGAATCGGTAGAAAGTTTGAGAGAGAGACAGTGAGAGAGAGAGAGCAAGAGAGCGAGAGAGAGAGAAAGAGAGAGAGAGAGAGAGAGAGAGAGAGAGAGAGAGAGAGAGAGAGAGAGAGAGAGAGAGAGAGAGGGTGGGTGGGTGTGCGTGCGTGTGAGAGAGGTTTGATTACCTTTTTCGCAAATCCCCATAGGCACCATAGTCACCATGGTCACCATGGTCACCAGTCATCATAGTCAGCATAGTCTGCATGGTCACCACAGTCACCATTCATCATAGTCACCATAATCAAATCAAATCAAATCAAATTGTATTTGCCACATGCACCGAATACAACAGGTGTAGACATTACAGTGAAATGCTTACTTACAAGCCCTTAACCAACAATGCAGTTTTTTAAGAACTAAAGAGCAGCAGTAAAATAAAATAACAGTAGGAAGGCTGTATACGGGGGATACCGGTACAGAGTCAATGTGCGGGGGCACCGGCTAGTCGAGGTAATTGAGGTAATATGTACATGTGAGTAGAGTTAAAGTGACTATGCATAAATAATAAACAGAGTAGCAGCAGCGTAAAAGAGGGAGATGGGGTGGGGTGGGGGGGCAGTGCAAATAGTCCGGGTAGCGATGATTAGCTGTTCAGGAGTCATATGGCTTGGGGGTAGAAGCTGTTGAGAAGCCTTTTGGACCTAGACTTGGCACTCCGGTACCGCTTGCCATGCGGTAGCAGAGAGAACAGTCTATGACTAGGGTGGCTAGAGTCTTTGACAATTATTAGGGCCTTCCTCTGAAACCGCCTGGTATAGAGGTCCTGGATGGCAGGAAGCTTGGCCCCAGTGATGTACTGGGCCGTATGCACTACCCTCTGTAGTGCCTTGTGGTCGGAGGCCGAGCAGTTGCCATACCAGGCGGTGTTGCAAGCAGTCAGGATGCTCTCGATGGTGCAGCTGTAGAACTTTTTGAGGATCACCGCCTGGCACCATAGTCACCAATCACCATAGTCACCAGTCGGAGGTTTGGTTTCACGTATCATCATACATCAGATCCAATTGCGATTGATACGATTTCAAAAATATTTCTTTCAATACCCATCTCTTGTGTCTCTGGTTTGCCAAGAGCACTTTCAGGTGATGATAACTAGTAGAAACAACATGAGATGGTCCAGTAAATATTTGGTCCAGTAAATGACTGTTTGAATTTAAACTTAATTTGAATAAAATGCCACAGAAATCAACAGCAAGCCAGCAAATGATTTCCTAGGGGCAAATTACCTGTGACACTCTGGCTCCGGGACTTTTGTATTTGAGCCAGGGTGTATTTTGTTTTGTTGGGTATTTGGGTGATTTTCTATGTTTGCAGTTCTGTGGGGTTAATTTCTAGGTTTGGTCAATGACTCCCAATCGGAGGTAACGAGTGTCAGCTGTCGGCTCGTTATCTCTGATTGGGAGCCATATTTAGCTGTATGTTTTCCTGTGGGGGTTGTGGGTTTTTGTTCCTTTTGGTCAGTGTACCGTGGACTTCATTGAGTCGTCTTTTGTTTGTAGTCCGATAACGTTTATTTAATAAAGTCATGTTTCTTGGACACGCTGCGCCTTGGTCATACTTGGACGACATAGACCCTCGTGACAGAAAAACCCACCATAAGAGGACCAAGCAGCGTGTCAAGCGGCAACAGGACCCAGCTCCAAAGGATTCTTGGACATGGGAGGAGATACTGGCTGGAAAGGGTCCTTGGGCACAACCGGGAGACTATCGCCGCCCTCGTGAAGAGCTGGAGGCAGCTAAAGCCGAGAGGAGGTGGTATGAGGAGGCAGCACGGAGTCAAGGCTGGAAGCCCGTGGGTACTACCCAAAAATTTCTTGGGGGGGGGCTTAAAGGGAGTGTGGCGAAGTCAGGTAGGAGACCTGCGCCTACTCCCTGGACTTACCGTGGAGAGCGAGAGTACGGGCAGACACCGTGTTACGCAGTAGAGCGCATGGTGTCTCCTGTACGCAGGCATAGCCCGGTTCGGTACATTCCAGCTCCACGTATCGGCCGGGTTAGAGTGAGCGTTGAGCCAGACGTCATGAAGCCGGCCCAACGCATCCGGCTACCAGTGCGTCTTCTCGGGCCGGCGTACATGGCACCAGCCTTACGCATGGTGTTCCCGGTTCGCCCACATAGGCCGGTGCGGGTTATTCCACCTCCCCGTACTGGTCGGGCGACGGGGAGCATCAACCCGGGTAAGGTTGGGCAGGCTCAGTGCTCAAGGGGGCCAGTAAGCCTGCACGGTCCGGTATTTCCGGCGCCACCTCTCCGCTCCAGCCCAGTACCACCAGTGCCTACACCACGCACCAAGCCTCCTGTGTGTTCCCCGAGTCCTGTGCGTCCTGTTGCTGCTCTCCGCACTAGGCCTTATGTGCGTCCCCAGGGTCCAGCATGCCCTGTTCCGGCTCTCCGCACTAGGCCTTATGTGCGTCCCCAGGGTCCAGCATGCCCTGTTGCTTCTCCCCGCACTAGGCCTTATGTGCGTCCCCAGGGTCCAGCATGCCCTGTTCCGGCTCTCCGCACTAGGCCTTATGTGCGTCCCCAGGGTCCAGCATGCCCTGTTGCTTCTCCCCGCACTAGCCCTGAGAGGCGTGTCCTCAGCCCGGTACCTCCAGTTCCGGCACCACGCACCAGGCCTACGGTGCGCCTCAGACGGCCAGAGTCTGCCGTCTGCCCAACGGGGCCTGAACTGCCCGTCTGCCCAAAGGCGCTTAAGCCGCCCGTCTGCCATGAGCCTTCAGAGCCGTCCGCCAGACCGGAGCCGCTAGAGCCTTCTGCCAGACAGGATCAGCCAGAGCCTTCCGCCAGACCGGATCAGCCAGAGCCTTCCGCCAGACAGGATCAGCCAGAGCCTTCCGCCAGCCATGAGCAGCCAGATCCGTCAGCCGGCCATGAGCAGCCAGATCCGTCAGCCAGCCATGAGCAGCCAGATCCTTCAGCCAGCCATGAGCAGCCAGATCCGTCGGCCAGCCATCAGCAGCCAGATCCGTCGGCCAGCCATGAGCAGCCAGATCCGTCAGCCAGCCATGAGCAGCCAGATCCGTCAGCCAGCCATGAGCAGCCAGATCCTTCAGCCAGCCATGAGCCGTCCAGCCAGGATCCGCCAGAGCCGTCCAGCCAGGATCCGCCAGAGCCAGCCAGCCAGGATCCGCCATTGAGTCCGGCGCTGTCCCTTAGCCCGGTGCTGCCCCTTATCCTGGTACTGCCCCTTAGTCCGGTGCTGCCCCTTTGTCCGGTGCTGCCCGTTAGTCCGGTGCCGCCCCTTAATCCAGTGGGGTTTAGTTGGGGGGTGGTCATGTGGAGGAGGCTACGGAAGCGGATAGTGACTAAGGTGGGGTGGGGACCACGACCAGGGCCAGAACCGCCACCGTGGACAGACGCCCACCCAGACCCTCCCCTAGACTGTATGCTGGTGCGCCCGGAGTGCGCACCTTTAGGGGGGGGTACTGTGACACTCTGGCTCCGGGACTTTTGTATTTGAGCCAGGGTGTATTTTGTTTTGTTGGGTATTTGGGTGATTTTCTATGTTTGCAGTTCTGTGGGGTTAATTTCTAGGTTTGGTCAATGACTCCCAATCGGAGGTAACGAGTGTCAGCTGTCGGCTCGTTATCTCTGATTGGGAGCCATATTTAGCTGTATGTTTTCCTGTGGGGGTTGTGGGTTTTTGTTCCTTTTGGTCAGTGTACCGTGGACTTCATTGAGTCGTCTTTTGTTTGTAGTCCGATAACGTTTATTTAATAAAGTCATGTTTCTTGGACACGCTGCGCCTTGGTCATACTTGGACGACATAGACCCTCGTGACATTACCCATGCTCTCTCTACAATCTGTTTAATAATTCTGGCATTTGGATTCCATTGTAGTATCGTAGTATCTGAGTATCATTAACATAATGCGGTGGTACCGTATTGGCGAGTTTTGTGCCCTCCCGGAGTCTGTGCAACATCAACACAAAACAGACCAGCGGTAGAGAAAGGTGGCCAAATGGCCTAATTGGTATTTATGTTCCATTTGACATTTACAAGTGTCAGTCAGTTGTAACACCCTGGCAAAGCATAATGCCATAATAATATCCCAGAAGAGGCTATGTTGAAGTCATTACACGTACCAACCAACACAAGCTTTTTTACATTGTTCGGAATAATGAGTCCATTAGGAGCAGGGGAACATTTGTTCCGGAGTGTTGGACACTGATGGATGATCAGGCAAGATGGCGTGTGCATCCATTCGTGTGTGTGTGAGAGAGAGAGAGAGAGAGAGAGAGAGAGAGAGAGAGAGAGAGAGAGAGAGAGAGAGAGAGAGAGAGAGTGTGTGCTTAATCCTAAGGTTGATGTGAACATGAAGC